GGTGGGGGGGGGATAACAGTAACGTACACGTGATATTTTTCTTGCCCACTTGGCGAGAATGCGAAAAGCGGGTGTGATTGTGTCTTGTTTTTTTGTTACCGTCGGTTCGTTGGGCTTCTTCCTCTCCTCGGTGTTAAGGTCATTGACACGAATAGCGTTGAGTTTTTCCCCGTGAAGTAAGAAGAGTATTTTCCCAAACCGCTCGCTTTGTTTTGCTGTGGCCCTTGTTCGGCTCGGTGGGATTCTCTCGCTGGCCCCCCATCTCTCTCACCGCCATGCCGAGCCGGCGTGTTTGTTGCATTCTTGGCTGCTGCTGCTGCTGCCGTTCGGCTTCTCCCGTGACGAGACGCCGCAAGAAAGAGTAGATAAAGTCGTTTTCGCACCAAGGGCGGGTGGCTTCCACCCGCCCGTCTGTCTGTCGGTGTACAGCCGCTGCTGCTGCTACTGGATTTGCAAGTAGGCGGCGTTTTTGTGTTTAGCCCCCCTTTGTGCTTCTTTCGTTGTCAGTCCAAAGTTTTGTATGCAAACGGTATTTCTACCGATCGATCCGATGTTCCTTGTATTTTTTTCCTTGTGTTTTCTCTCCCCTCTTGTATGGTTGTTAATTAACGAACAACGTCCACGGAAGCAAGCATCTCGCATGTGATGCGAAGTCACCGGCGGTTTCACGTTCCTTTATCGATCGATTGATGCGTTCGTTGGCGATTATTGTAAGATCCTGTTCGTTCGGCAGATTTCTATGCGGCTATGATATGAGCTGCGTACGCTACATTTTTTTTTATGGTTTCTCCGATGACCTTGAGTCTTTTCGTGACGCCGCGGAAGGGGCCGGAGACAGAGGGACAGTTTTTGTTTTGTTGTTCTGGTCGTGCTCGTGTTTCGGAAGGAAGAGATAATAATATTTCTAGTTTCTTCTTCCTCATGAGAGGGGGCACGGCAATAACTGTGTGGCGTCGGAGGAAGCGCGCGCGGGAGGGGAGGGGGGTGCGGTGTGTTATTGTCTAAACATGAACATGAGATGAAGATAGTAGTAGTAGGTGTTTCATGGATGTCAACGAGTGTAGGTATTATGACACGCGGGTCCACGCGACAGACAAAGGGTGTCTAAAAAGGTGGCAAGCGGGGGGGGGGGGGGAGGGCAGTAACCC